GTCGTCTTATGACACTAGAACACCTAAGCTTTTCTGCACCTTGGAATTCTGCAATGATCCTCCAATAATTAATATTCTGTTTTTTTTTCATTTTACCTACCAAAGCGAGCAACTTCACATTTTCCCACATTATGCTCCATCTGACAGATTTTTTACCCACTCATTCAATCTACCTACAATCTGCTTGTCTGCAATCTCCTTGCATCACCTTCACGACATACTTCCCTACCTATCTTAGTATTATTTGCAAATTTAGCCACTATGCCTTCACTCCCCTGATCTTGGTTACTGTTGTAAATTTTAAAAAGTTGACGCCTCAACGCAGACTCCTGCAGAACACTAATTGCCAAATCTTACTAATTAGACAAAGACCCCTTTAGGCATGCTATCAATTTTCTGCCAGCCAGACAATCCACTATTGATGTTAGTATGTTGCCTCCTATACCAAGATTTTATTTTCTGTAATAACCTTTGATGTGGAACCTGATTAAATGCCTTCTGGAAATCCATGTACCATACGTTTACAAGCTCTCCTTTATCCACAGTGTAGCATAATCCTTATGAAAACTCCAGTGTGTTCGTTAAATATGATTTCTCTTTGAAACCATGCTGATTATTCCTAATTTGCCTTCAGTTTTTGCCAAGTGCAGAACTATAATTTGTTTGATGATTGATTCTAATGCCTTCCCCATGATAGGCATACTAAACCTGGCCTACATTTTTTTCTCTCAGTCTCAATAAATGGAGGAGTCATACTTGCTAGTTTCTAGTCTGATTGAATTTTTATGAAACTATGGAGTTTTAGAAAATTAATACTGATACATCTACGACCTCATTAGTGGTTCTTTAAAGGTGGTAGGATGAAGTCCATCTGCACCTGAAGACTTAACAGCATGCAGCTGACAAGTTTATGTCAACGTTTTTGCATAATTTCAAATATACTGAATGATTTAGTTCATTTAGCAATATCATCATTTGGAAAACTTTTTTCCTTCAGGGTTTTTCATTTGAATGAATGTAATGACCCATGTCAAACTGCAGCTTTAAAGACACTGGGAAGGTCGTCGAAATGGTCTTTCATGTGTGTATTTCTGCAGCCGACAGTGACAGATTGTTTAACCGTAGAAAGCATTACAACCTAACCAACCCTGTCCTATGTACTTCATAGTATTGGTCCTGTTTAGTGATTTGGTTAAAGATGCTGCTTGACTTTTTTTCCCCCTCCTTTCTAGTTTAGGAAAGATGTGTCCAGTTTTCATAGCTGAGATGGATATTTTAATGAAATAAGTGGTATATTCATATCCAAAGTAACTGCTTCCTCTTATGCCTGTTATAAATGGTTGACATTATATCTTTCAAGAGTGACACCAATTCTGATATTTGACATAAGTATTCATAACAGGGAAGGCTGAATTCACTGGAATTTTTATTTTGATCATATTCAAGTTAAGTTGTATCAAGTATTTGCGCACTCACAGACAATATTTTTGTCACAAATGCTATTCCTATACAATGCCATGGAAGTTTACAGTGTAGAAGGAATTTATCCAGTTTATTTTGACTATATACAATGTCAGCTTTAGAATAATCCTATAGTATTTTCACATTAGACCTGAGGAAATTGTTTCAGCATTACTAAAAGCTGTGCCTTGTCAGGTCAGGAAATCTAGTATGTACATACACAGAAACACAGTCAAATTGATCTGATCTACACTGTATTCCTCTGAAGTAAATGAATGGTGCGGAACAGGATTACATATAGGTAGAAATACTTTTCAATTAGAATCAAAATAAAAGTGCCTCTTTGTTGAAACAGGCTTCTTCACAACCATTTATGCATGTATTTTTAATCCAGAGATATCAACTTCTGATGCCAAGTAAGTGTTGCAATGATGTGTTAACAGATTACAATTATTTGTCTTTCCTCTTTAGTGGAAACGTGAACAAGAATTTGATTTACAGTTATTGGAAAAAGCAGTGAAAGGAGAGCACCACAATCTTCAAGATGGGTTTATAAAGCAGTCAGTACCGGTGGTGGAAGCTGACGTGGAACCACTAGACTACGATCTAGACCTCAGCAAAGAGGTGATAATATTAGTGTATAAGTGCCAATTACCTACTTGTAAAGGAAGAACTTGCATCTTTTAAAGCACCTTGTACAGCCTCAGGACATCCTAAAGCACTACACAGTCAATTAATTACTTTTGAGGTTTAAACACTGCTACAACAGAAGCCAATTTGCACACAGCAGGAGCCCACAGGGAGGCATTAAACAACTAAACAGTCTGGTTGTTGAAAGATGTGCTGATTAGTACACTGGAGAAAATAATGTCACAGGCTCTGCTGAAATAGAAAAACTTGTCCCTCTTTACTGCAATGATGCTTTGCCGTGGATTCACTTAGCCGAAATGACTGGAGTAGGACTTGAAACCATGACCTCCTGACATAGAAGCATGAGTGCAGTGGCTGAGCCATTGTGACACCTAATGTAAATTCTTATACTAACCTAAAAGCTTGGCTTTCAGAAGTAGTGCTTACAAAGATGTGTTGGAATAGTGTATAATTAAATTGATTATTCCAGTTAACGTAAAGTGAGCAGAACCAAAAGAAACAATCGGTTCGGGATCATATATGAGGCTAATTAGCACATTATATATTGGATTTGCCCAAAGAATTACTGCTGTATGTAATAAACGCTTAATACCAAAGTTGACTGGTTTCAATTAGCACATATCTGACTTAAGTCAGACGTGCTGTTTCCTGTTGAGGTGTAATTAATTACGTTCGTGTTTGAGAGAATAATAACCTCAAACTGGATGTTAACTCTCAAAAACAGGTGGGATGGTGTCCTATCAGATTGAGCAAGAATTCCCAATAAGGAATCCAACCTCCCATGAACTCTTCCACTTTCTGTTTTAACTGAGGCAAGGTGTGGGGAGGGAAACCAATCTGCTCACAAGTTCATTTAAGTATTGAAACTGCATGGCTAGGTATTCTGAACCGGTTTGAAAATGTGGCAGCTAATGGAAATAAGATGGACAAGATGCGTAAGTTATTTAGGCACTGCTTTTATATCAAGGGGAACAAGAATATTTCCTTCATGCCCAGCAAGTGACCCAGTAAGTCAATGGCCTTAAACCCCATTCCCATCCACACCCTTCTAATCTCTCTGCTCCTTACTTCTGACTTCCAGCAGTATTGTTGAGTATTGTTACACTGCTGCCATTACTTTTTCTGACCAACAGCTGATCTATGTGTCCTCCCCCAAGGTACCTCTCCACCCCTTTGATCAGATCCTGACTCCTCACTCATCTGTGATCCATCTTAGTCCCACTATTCCTGATTTTGTAGATTTCAGGTTTTCCAAATAAAAGGCCTCCACTTAAAATTCCGTAGCCCATTCTACAAATCCATTCTTTTAGATTTCTGAACCACAGAACAGCCCTATTATGCCCCAACGGATCCCATCTCTGCACTGTACTCGCGTCCAGACTAAAACTGAGTCTTTTGAGAACTGTTTAGTGCTGGGCGCTATGCTGGGTCAACAAATGTATCACCTGAATAATAATTCTCATGAGAGAAATCATGCTGCAAAATGGCTCAGTGGTTCGCATTGCTGTCCCACAGCACCAGGGACCTGGGTTCAATTCCATCCTTGGGTGACAGTCTGTGTAGAGTTTGCATATTCTCCCCGTGTCTGTGTAAATTTCTTTTGGGTACTACAGTTTTCTCTCCCAGTCCAAAGATGTGTGGGTTAGGTGAACTGGCCATGTTAATTTGACCATAGTATCTAGGGATATGTAGGTTAGGTGTGTTAGCAATGGAATTGCAGGGTTACAGAGATAGGGTAGGGGCTTGGTCCGGATGGGATGCTCTTTGGAGGGTCAGTGTGGATTCAATGGGCCAAATGGCCTGCTTCCACACGATAGGGATTTTATGATTCTGTGTGACTGATAGTGCCGTGTTTGAAAACTAATCAAGTTGGAACTAGCTGCTCAAGTAAAGAAAATAAATCTTGAAAACTTGTCGGATGTTTAATAGTTTGCCAAATCACATGGCTCCAGCTGTGCTGATAATGTTATAAATATCTTTCTTCGTATTTTCATTAAATGTTCACTGTAGCACAGATGACTTAGTCATTGTATCCAAACGGTTAACTAGCTGTCATAAAGCTCAAAAATGTTTGCTTTCACACTGCTATAAATATCCTGGCACATTTTATTGGGTGCAGTGAAGTGTCATATTCCTTCCCAGCCCCAGTACCAGATATCGAAGTTGATGTAAGAATACTTACCAAAGCTTTTCCGTAGTGATTGCATAGTAAAACAAAGAAGTGCAGATGCTGGAAAACTGAAACAAAAACAGAAATTGCTGAAGAAGTTCAGCAGATTTGGCTTCATCTGCAGTGAGAAAGCAGAGTGAACATTTCAAGTCCAAAACTTCTTTTCCAGAATAGAATTTCTCTTTTTGTTTCATGTTCTTATATGTAGCTCATGTGAACTCTTTCAGACAATGCATGGTCAATCTACTCAGCCCACATAATTTTGGACTTGTCAAATATTTAATTTTTGTTGATTTTTTTAAAGGTGTTGCTCACTGTAACTGTGCATCATTGTAAACATGTGTTTCTAGTCTTTTATTTTACCTTCCCCAATTTTATTCAAGATTGAGGAGCATTAACTACAAATAGCTTTCTTCCCCACTTTGAAGAATTTTTTAACCTTTCCTCAGAAAAATCTTCATTCGTGGAGGATTGAGAAATGAATCCAGATCATAGTCTAATCAGTCACTGTCACCAGTAATAACCTTGTTAAAAAAAAAATGGGATTTGGATCCTCTTCAATTTGTGTATGCGTACATATATCTTGTTTGGTGTGCTTAGCTGTTTGTTTTTTGCATCTGGTGCTTTGCATGAACACGGTGCTTATGCAAAATGTTTGTTGATCATATCCCAGTTTTATTTGACTCTTTTGTGAATCATTTGTTTGATGAGTTTCAATGCAGGGTAATGGCATTTTCCCAATGTGGACCTACTGTGCCAGCATCAAACTATTGAGCGATGTACCTCAAAGAGGAACAGCTGCCATATAATATTTTCCACACCAAACTTTGTCGACCCTCTGGACCCCACAGGGTGCCAGATCTCTCTCAACCAGGGGAAGATGGAGACTATTTCATGCAGCTGAGCTAATTTAAACCCAGGTCTCAAAGGCAATGCCAGCACCCATCCAAGTACACCAGGCCACCATCTCTTGTGTTACTATTTTGGTTCCTTATTTCTTTTCAGTTGTCAAAGCCAGACATGGTTCTAATTCCAGAACGCTACATAGAATTAGAGCCTGAGGAACCACTCACCAATGAGGAATATGAGGCAAGGAAGCGCAAGGTGCAAAAAATCAAAAACATCCTTTCCAAATTGAGGTACTTTATTCAGTTGCATATCTTTTTTGTATAATGTGTAATTTTTTTTTTTTGAAAATGTATTTGTGAAACTAAAATGTTAAGAGAATATACACTCAGTATATTTTAATCCAGAGTGTTACAAAACAATCTTAGATCTTAATAGGATCCAAAATTCTTAGTAATGTATCCCAAAACATTTTTCTCCCTCCCAACTAGCAACTAATCACAGATTTTGAGAGGTGCTATATTATTCTGTAACTATTTTGGGTAACACAAAGTGTAAAGATGTACTGTTGAATAGAGTCAAATGAACAATGTGCAACAGAGAATCAGGATTCTAGGTGCTTCCAGCCCTATTTTAATTTTGTAATAATTCCCTTATTCAAGAGGCTAGATAGACACAACCTTTGCTTAGTGTTTTGTTCATAACTTTACTGCAACATTCTCGACACACAATTTGCCATGTAACCTATCCCCAGGTAAGTGCTTTGGATTACATCAGGTTAAAATGAATCGTAGCTTCATTCTGGTTGTCATTAAAGAGGGATCTACTGCATCTGTAATAACTCTGATGATGAATTCTGCAATTACCATGTTTTGTGTCACAAAGAATTAAGTTGTATTTTTTGTTCTGCATCAGTTACCAGAATGTGCAACCCGGAGTTAACTACATAAACGAGAACTCCTCTGATCTCGACTCTCAGTTGCAGGAACGGGAACGTATCATCACTATGTCCTACGCGTTAGCATCTGAGGCTTCCCAGCGGAGCAAAATAGTAGCAGGTAAATGCCATACTTCTGAGTTCCATCTTCGAGTCATACATTTGAGTGGAACTTTTTCATGTAAGGTCTGATTTCATGTGTGCTATTAATTGAGAAAGTTTGCTTTAGGAACAGGTAAAGCTTTCTCTCATCTTGATAGAGGCAGAAATTAGAAGCTAAAGAGTACTGACATATCTCATGTACCCACTGTGTTGACGGTCTTTTAGTGAAATCCATTCATTTGTCATTGTTATCTGACGAGACTATACAAATCTCAGAACTTTTTTTAAAAACACGAACAAAACATAAATTTTGTATTTGTAGTGCAAGTTTATATGAAACAATATAGTGACATGAGTTACTGTTTTGGCAGTGAGCCCTGAAAGACATTGTTAATATTGTTACTATCTATACTTATAGGTATGCAATTCTAACAGTAGCTCAGTTATCTTAACTAGACTATTAAAGTTATTCCTGACGTGTCAATTCTGATTATTGTTTAGAAGTATAATTTTATCTTGCATCATGAAAATTTCGGCAAGTGAGTTGATTTTGATGTTCTGTTTCAAATAGGTGCACCAGAATCTCTATGAATGAATTGACCTTTTTTCTTTATTTGGAAATTGTCCAGCTTTTGAACACTTTTAAAATCCTTAGTAAAAAAGACAGCTCTTTGTTTCGGGGAACTGTCAATGTAAATTCATATCCAAAGCAATGTTTTAAATAATGTAGCGCGTGTCCTATCACCTCCAGAAATTGGGTTAGAGCCAACCCAATTGAGATGAAATGTCTTTTCACAGCTGGCTGAGTATAACTGGCATCAACCCTGTGGGCAGTTTCAAACCAGATCCTGACGGACATTAGCCAAGTCTGTACCAAGTTTAAACAGTTTCCTTATTTCTAGAAATAGCTGGAGTTCCACTGTGAAACTGTACTGCAAAACAATGCATAGATTCACTCTGTGTTTAAGGACGTTGCCCAAGCACTGGAAGGAAGACATCAGACAGAAGTTTAGTTTATCCTTTTTTTGTTTATTGCAGATAGTGACAAGTACTGGGCTGTAGTTCCACAGGTAGAAGTAGTCCTCCAAATAACCTTTCTCCATTGAGGGATGCTTACAGAGGCAGATTGTTTGACCTCACAGCCAAGTCTTACTCTTCTCAACCAAAATCCATGTATACTTACTTTCTAGCAAGTAGCACTGGATAGCAGTGAAACATGGCAAACAAACAAATCAGGTTTCCCTCAATCTAGCTCAGGCAGCATTACAAATCTTGCTACTGTTCCAGCTGAGATCTACTAGCTTAAAGAGACCAAACCTAAGTGCCAGAGCAACTAATGTATTTAGCTATGAAATGATCAGGAGAACGAAACAGAAGTTTTATGAGCAACTAAGTAACACATTCACTCATTTTAATTTCCTCTTCAGTGCTCCACTAATACTATATTACCAGAACGATGTGAGAAAAATGCAGTTGCATGTTCGTTGCTCTTGCCGTATAAAATGCAAACAACTCAATTTAATTTCTACACTCTTGATTTATGGCAGTCATGTAGTGTTTTAATCATCCCTGGGGAAAGTGTTCACCAGTACTTCAGGGGAAAAAGAAACAGCTCTATCATGACGTGCAGTTGGTTAGAATGCAGGCCTTTTACTTTGTGTTCTGGCTTCAAATTCAGTACAGATTAATGTTCTGTCTCTCTGACTGCAAGGTTTAAACTGAGTAGGAGCATTCATAATTCAAGGTTATGAACTCAAAACTGCTTACAATGCTGTGATTACTAGCACTAAATTACTTATTTTGGAGGCCAGAGGATGGCAGAAAATGGAAATGTCAAACTGAAACAATAAAGTGTGGTCTACATTGAAGTTAGGTACAGCAATGTGATAAAGTAGAACTATCTTCATCCTATATTTAATCTATTCTATAGCCTTCCAGGGAATATGCGATATTGAATTAGACTATAAAGGCAGAAAAAATGTTAGAGCACTAAAACAGGATAATATTTTTTAAAAAGGCCATTCAGCCAGACCAGCCAGTATTGATTTTTATCTTCTACCTGAGCAGTGGTCCTGACTGCAGGTGCCCCTCCGCTATTCCTTAAACATTTTTCTTCAAACATATCTTCAACCTGTTCTCCATGTTGACATGGCCTCTGCTTTGATCAGCAATTCTCTGTGCATTTCACAGCCTCTTGGTGGTCCATAAAAACAAAGGTTTCCATCACTCTGTCTGAAATCTGTTATATTTAGTGTTGTATCAATATCCCCTCTAGAGTATTCAGGCACGAGGAACAATATATTTCCATCACATTGCTTTAGCAATGTTCCTATTTAGGGACTTGGAGACAGTAAGGATTGCGGATGCTGGAAGATAAGTCAAAAAATGTAGAGCTGGAAAAATACAGCAGGTCAGACAGCATCCGAGGAGCAGGGAAGTCAATGATTCGGGCTCTTCCCATTTAGGGAACCCAAATAACCAAACTTACCAAGTCCAACTAAGACCATATATAGATTCCATGTTACATATCAACTTCAATCTTCTTTGCCGCTTGCCATAACTCAGTATTCCATCAGTTTATCTATAGCCTCAGTGGCTTGGGGTGATGCTTTCAACATATTGTGAACCTAAATCCTGCCAACACTCTTCTGCATCTCCAGCTTTTATCCAATTCAAAGCAAAGTTGTTGTTATTAGCTATTTTAAAAAGCTTTTAACCAAAATATTCCACTTGCTGTCTGACACTGAATCCCATCAGGCACTGTAAAATCTAATTTCAACATTACCTTTGTATTTCTGCAACCATCTCAAGCCTGGCCTCCATGCTAAACACACTAGGTAAAAGTGACTCCAGAACAGAACCAGTGAACTTCCAAGCAGTCTAAGTAACTGCTGTTATTTCCTACTATCTGTTTCCCCATGACCTTTTCTAACTAGTTATTAATGAATTTAACTAGTTGCCATTATTTTCATTGACCTTAAATCTTCTGCAGTAGTTACAAATATTGTTGTTTGTAAAAAGAAAAATCTAGATACAGGAATTAAATTTTGATCATATCTCTTGGAAAATTGGTTAAAAAAGTCATCGAGAGTAGGAAAAAATTCACAGGTAATAAAATATCCAAGCACCTGGTATTAATTGCTAGTTCAACTCATTTCTTTTCACCAGTTTGGTCATGTGAGCTCCTCTAAGCACTCCCCATTCTTATTGATAATTGAAGGGCTCTTGTACAGCACTGATAATGACCCTACTGCCAGAAGCCCTAGCTGCAAATCCCACCTATGCTGGAGGACATCTGAACATGCTGATTAATAATAATCTGCCCCTGGTTCTCTTCTTAAATCAGAATTTGTTACTTTTATACCAAGACACAAGTTGTGGGAATACAGGTAAGTTGTTTCTGGATCACTGCCAAATTACAGTCTCCAGAAGGTGCATTGACATGTATTTGGTAAATAGCCAGCATTTCTCTTCCCTCTCCAGACCACCAACTGCAAACAGAAGCCCAGTCTTTATTTGGCACCTCTTCAGAGTACCAGACTGGAATTAGTAACACAGAAAAGTAACACGCCCATTGTTCCAAACTGCTACGTTGAGCGTTCACAATAAAATAAGTCCAATTTTCGTCAGTTTAAGCGGTTTGGATTCAAAATAAACTAAGCTGCTAATTCTGCTAAGTTATGAAACAATTTTAGTACATCTGATGCTAAATTATTTTGATCTTGATCGGAAACATGTAAGAAACTGCGTGTGCATATGCTCGATGAGAGTACAATGAGGATTCCAAAGTGTGATGCTCTTTTGGTTGAGCAGCCTCAACAACAAGTGCTGTCTACAATTGAGTCTGACACTGGGGTCTGACTCGTGCTTGTGGAACTGTATCCAACGTGAATCAGTACGTTCAGAAAAATACAGAGTTCTGATGAAGATATGAATTTCTTGAGTTTCATTGTGGTTCTTATCATTTGGTATCTTCATCTAAAATATTACATCATGATCGTTTGCAGGTATCTTTTACGTAAATGCTGATTGCAGCTGTGTGATTATTGCATGTGGGCAGAATATCATCAAGAGAATTAATAACATGCTACGAAATCACAGTCAAAGAAAATTAAGACTGAAATCACAAACAGGCTGGCTAACACTGTAAAATTGTCACTGTCTTGTTGTTAACCCTGGTCTTTAACAATTTGTGCCTTTGTCTCTTTATATGTGATCCCTTCCAGCTCAACAGCAGGTCCATTCGTCTTCAGCACCTTCCCCTCCTCATTCCCCTCTTAGCAATGGATTCCACTACACATTTGTCTAAGCAAAGTAAGAACTAACAGATTTTTAAACTTTTTTCCTACTTTAACTAGTCTGTGTTGATTTAAAATCTCAAATTTACACTGTATACTAATCTAGTAGCTTCTTCAGTAAAATGTGTTTCTTTAAGATTAAGCCAAAAACAGCAATGTAGAACAAAGTAACATAATATAAATAATGTCACGAGCTGATTCTTGCTTCCTCTTCCGGGAACATCTAGTAATCAATGCTGCAGTCAGCTGTTACGATATGTATATTTCTGTTGTCCACAATTGCTTCTTTCATTTGTTTTTGTAGTCTATATGCTTAAGAGCAGCACAATCAATCCCTATGTAACATTTTTACTTTTGACATAATTTTTTTGTCTGGTATAATAAACAAAACCAAACACAAAATGCCAGTTATGATCCCACCATTTATTTCAATTCATATAATGAAAGGAAGAGAAAGCAAATCTAGGGCATTTTATTTTATTTCAAAAGTTGTTGGGCCAAATTTTATGATTATGTGGAGAGATCTTCCCCTGAATTAGTATTTCTGCTGCATGTTGGAACCCTGAGGAAGTCCTTGCATAAACCCATCCACAATATTTACACAGGTAGTTTAACCCTTTCTGGATTGCTCTGTGGATTAGCTGGAACCATCCAGGGTTGGGCTATTTATACTGACCTTGCTTGTTACATATCTATGTAGTTTTTATTAGTACTTAGATATTCACTTCTGTTGCCATAGTCTCAAGAGCTGGAAAGTAGGATTAATGTAATCACATCTTTGTTAAACAGCAGTCACACGATGAGCCAAATGCCGTCCTCCTAGGTCATAGAATCATAGAATTCCTACAGTGTGGAAGCAGGCCATTTGGCCCATCGAGTCCACATTCATCCCATCCACCTACTCTAGCCTTGTAACCTTGCATTTTCCATGGCTAATCCACCTAGCCTGCACATCTCTGGACTGTGGGAGGAAACCGAAGCATTGGAAAGGGTGCAGAGGAGATTTACCAGGATGTTGCCTGGTATGGAGGGAAGGTCTTATGAGTAAAGGCTGAGGGACTTGAGGCTGTTTTCGTTAGAGAGAAGAAGGTTAAGAGGTGACTTAATAGAGACATACAAGATGATCAGAGGATTAGATAGGGTGGACAGTGGGAGCCTTTTTCCTCGGGTGGTGATGGCTAGCACGAGGGGACGTAGCTTTAAATTGAGGGGTGATAGATATAGGACAGATGTCAGAGGTAAGTTCTTTACTCGGAGAGTAATAAGGGCGTGGAATGCCCTGCCTGCGAAAGTAGTAGACTCGCCAACTTTAAGGGCATTTAAATGGTCATTGGATAAACATATGGATGATAATGGAATAGTGTAGGTTAGATGGGCTTCAGATTGGTTTCACAGGTCGGCGCAACATCGACGGCCAAAGGGCCTGTACTGCGCTGTAATGTTCTATGTTCTATCTGCAGGAAACCCACAGAGACACGGGGAGAATATGCAAACTGCACAGAGTGGATGCCTGGCACTGTGAGGCAGCAGTGCTAACCACTGAGCCACAGTGCCGTCCCCCCCATATCATCTTTCACGTCAGACTTGCTGAGTAGCAAAACTGTATTTCAACTGGAGTGCCCAAACATTCCAATGACAGCGATATTTAGCACCTATGTCTTTTATGTTCACCACTGGCATGGAAATGCTTACCATCTCATTTGCACACAGCACGATCACCTTGTCCTGTGCTTTACTATCCTGACTTGCCTTCAGGAATCCTGGTTACTTTTTGGCCAAGGTCAGACTGGAGTATTTTCATGGGGCGAGAGAGTAGGGGTGAACACTGTCAGGGGACTATGGAGTGAAGGTAAATGCTGTTGGGCATGAGGTTAGGTTTAAACTGTCAGACGTGAGGAAGGGAGGTGAACATCGTATGTTGTCTGGTGTATTTGGGAAGGCGTGGTGAAGAAGTGTTAACATTAAACAAAGAAATGCTGGTCATGGGGTAATGAATAATTGTTGATACTACTTTTGAAAATAAATTTTACTGTGAAGCAGAACTAGATAGAGTACAATGAACACAAACTGTGGGATATTTAAACTGTAACAGAATATGGCAACTACTGCCATAAAAATGGGGTATGATTTGACTTCCTCTGACTGCCTGTTTGATGAGGGAGCAGTTGAATTTCACATATGCTCTTCATTTCTGATCAAGCTAGGATTGAAAGTTCCAGCAAGAAACACAGAACTCGGTACTAGTAGGACTGGAATGGCAACCTGACAGTGATTGCCACTGTTCAGAAGATTTAAGATAACGTCTGCATGAAGTGTTTCACCAACTTGAAATTAGAAGCGGCAGAAGCTCCTCTTTCAGGAGCTGGTACGGATACGATGGGTCAAATGGCCCCCTACACTACTGTAAACATCTTTGATTCTAGAAGTCAGATGTCATTTTTACAATAAGTTTGAATGTTGATGCGATTCTGATTTAGATTCAGTTAATATATTAGAAGCTTCATAAACTATCAAAGTAAATATCTATTACTTTTTCTATTCATTAAGCTGATGACGAGGAATATTTGTTCCCCTTCCTGGTATTATGCAAAATTGTGCTGATTCTGCATGGGCAGACAGCAACATGTGTTGCTGCCCTTGTTGCACTCTTCATAAATAACTTTGATAAAATGCACATTGGCCACAAAGTGAAAGAGTCCCTCCTCTTCCCATCCTCCCCCAAGCCCCTGGCTCTCTCTAAATACTCAGAAATCAAATTGAATTCTTCAAACAACTAAGGAATGCCTAATTACTGCTATGAAAAGGGAAGTTGAACCCAGCCATGTTACAGTTCTTTGAATGATACTGAGGATGAAGGTCTATGAGAGAAATAGTTATTTTTGTGTTGGAATTCTGTAATAGTGCCATCTGGTGACAATTGAACAAAACAGCATTGCAACAAAATTATTTCCTAACAGTAACATATAGACGTGTACATACACTTGGGTAAGCTATTTCTCTTAATTAAAACTAGGCAGTACTTATTTAGTTTTTTTTTAGAAAATTCTGGTGTCAAACAATGAACAAAGGTCTTTAGCCAGCTGTTGAAAGAATTTGATGTCATTTGGGAGATTTGCCTAAGAGGATTTAAAAACGATAACCAAATATTGATTTTGAATCTCCATATGTTGAATGTAGAAGGACACTTTATCCACTGTCATGCATGTTTTCCAAACAAAGCCTCATCATTATTAAAAATATATGTAGCATATCAACACAAACCATTGCATTTTGCAATGTGTAGTCACCACCTTTTTAAACTTATGTTTCAGAAGGTTCCCAACTTCACAACAGACGTCTCCATAGTTCATGACTCCATTGAAGTGCATGAACTACGTTTCCTACCAAATCAGGCATGACTCCATGGAAAAGAGGGGTTTGGGGCAAAGAGTAGTGGAGAAGGGTGGTCTACAATGCCCATCTGCTCATTGTTCCATGCGAAATTACCACCCTTGTGCTTATCCCATACCTTTATCCCTTGCTCTGTCAAAGGAACTATGTACAGGAATCCCAGAATCAGATCCTGCCAGGCATTTTAAATTCCTGCTTGCCTCTGTCCACATGGATGGAGACACAAGTCCAGCTCCTTTATACAATAAAAAACAGAAAATTCTGGAAATGCTCAACAGATTAAGGAGCATCTGTAAACAGATAAACAGAATTGGTATTTCAGGTCAATGACCTTTCATCCAACGTGCAAAAATTACAAATCTGAGAGTTTTCAAACAAGTGTACTTGGGCAGCATTGGAAAAACAGCAAAAAGTAAATCCTGTGAAAGGGTGTAAAATGGGAGATTACATGACATGAGATTAGGTGATGCATTGGAGGTGAAGCTGTAATATGAAGCAGTAACTAGATTGAATCTGGTTTTCCCCTATAGAGTGCATTGTGAGCAGTGGATGTAGAGTACTAAATTGAAATAAATAGTCAGTAGTTGTTTCACCTGGAAGAAGTGTTTGAAGTCTACTATGATACAGTAGGCGTGCACTGACATGAAATGCTACTCTGGGGAGGGTGTTGGAGATGTTGGCCGTGGTGGAATGACTCCTTCAGAATGCTGAAAAGGAAGACAAGGAATGATGGGTTTGATGGAGCCACATGCTAGTGGGAGCATATATCTTATGCTTTGAGCTGTGAAAAGATGGCAAGGTTGATGGACTGAGTCATGTTTCCTTTTCCCACGTTTGTAAAAAAAAAAAGGATGTTGTTTTACATGACTGAACAGGAGAAACTAACTTGAGGATTCTTTTTGTTCTCCACATTCTAGCCAAATCCCTGGCTGAACACTAATTATAAACAGAAGCAAAGAATTGAACAAGGAAAGAAAATTGCAAGAAACCTACAAAGTTGATCTGATGGAGAACAACACTGCATTGCAGTTAACCTGTACTAACCAGCCAGAAACTAATTGAATCAACTTGTTTTTGTACTAAAACAAACAAGGGCAACTTTTCTTTAGTAAGCAATGAAGCAGGATTGTAAAAACAGTAATTTACTGGATTAAGTATTTAAAAGGCAAACTATTTTTCTAAAACCTAAAGGATGCAGAAACATTCACGGTGGAAGTTTCGGTGACTCGGATATTGGAAACTAAATTTTTTTTCTTAACACAGAAGTGTGTGAAGTAGATTAACTTTTTTAAAACAAAACATATATATGGTATTGCACTTTATACATATCCCATGAAAAGCTGATTTGCTGCATTTTAGAATCAGAATGTATTAAAATAGATTTGTACAAAACATGCAATTGTTCAGAGCAATTTTGCAGTGTTGTGAAATATGTTTAATTTTATTAGCCTGTTTTCAGCTGCAATATTATGTATTCCGATGGTGGCTACAAATACTTCACAAGAAAAAGAACCAATTTCGTGGTTCTCATAATTTACATAAAAATACTGATCTATTTTTGAACCTGAAATTAAAAATGTAATATTCCTACACTTTTTGGATCAATTTTAAAGTGAGTTTATTTTGTCTGAATCGAGCACTGCCAGAATGAATTATATTGCCAAAACCAAATGGATTTCATTGTTATTTCCGCATGGACTCTTGCAAAGTAAAAAGCACAGAGAAGAGATATTTTGGAAGATAGTGATGGAGCATTGACACGTTTTTGTAATTTGCAAGGGAAAAGGTTGCATTTGTGTAAATATTAAACAAAAATTCAACAGGATTCTGTGTCTCTTTTCATAACCCTGAATGTATGCATGCATGCATTTGATTTAGTGATGGCTGAGACCTTTTTTTATATGAAGTGGGAACTCACTTTGTGGTTAAATGGCAAAGATGCCACCTTTCATGTCGTACTGAGTCATACAAAGTGGCAAACTCACCATTCTGTGTTCACGAAAGCCAGCATTCAGCACTACGGATTGCAACAGCCCTTTGGGATTAAGAGAAGACTGAGAAGGTTCAGACACATACCACTCATCTTAATCACTATTGGTGAAGTTATGGGGAAAAGGCTACATATGAGCACAATTGAATAACCACCTTCACTTACAATCAGGATTGTATCAAACGAATGGTCAGTGCAGAAATCTCCAGCAGCTACCTTAAAGCAGAACAAGCTCCTCCCTTCATGAAAAGTTGGCAGGAAATTGAGCACTAACAGAAATAAAGAAAATCATTGGAGAGAAGTTGAAATAAAAAGGTGAGACTTTGAGTTATATTTAGCATTATAACCTTATGTAAATTTACATTAATAGAAACTTTCTGACAGAAACTCAGTCTTACTTTGTGGGTTCTTTGACTTTATAGTCCATATTTTTTTAAACATTTCTTCTACATTGCTACTTATTCCTTTATCCTTAGACCACCTCCAAACCTCTTGTTTTCAGTTACGTCTTCGCACTTCTTAGCTCTTTCTTGGTTTTTCTTCTTCTGACACTCCCTTTCTCACTCTTGCCTCAGCATCACCATCAACCTTGAAGCTCCCAACACTTCAAAGTGTGTGATTTTACTTTTTAAATGCAACACGTTGCTTAAATAAAGCAATAAGCAATGGTCCTGTATACTGAATCCTAAGTAAGTAATACTGAATTATGGTATGAATTGGCACAGTATATGAGAATGTATAATTTATAACTTGCCTGATAAAATGAATTATGAAAGTTGAAAGTAAAACCATTTGACAAACCTTTAAAGATGACAAGAAAGGAAACCATAATTTTTTTTTTAATACTTTGCTATGATAGGATCATGTTATATATTTTACTGAAATGTTACTCTTACTTTATTTGCACTATGGGTTGGATTTAGCAAGTAACCAAGAAGTGTACTTGTATTATTGTGAGAGGTCCCAGTTTGTAAAATACTGCTTCTGCCATACCACATCATCTTGAATGAAAGTGGCTGCTATTTAGCCATGGTCTTATTGGAGTTGAAATAACACAATAACAAATAGGAACATCATTTTGCACTCAACCAGAATGTATTTTTCATGGGTCCAATTGTCCAATCCTCGGTAAAAATTACTCATTGTGACAAAATATCATTTCTGAATGCATTCAGCCCTTATAAACAGTGGTAGTAGTGAACTCTATCCTTTGTTTATTCTGACTACACCTTCCATTTTTCCCATTCTTCTTTTCCTTGGGTATTAATTATATTTGAGCGACTCTCAAAGTAAGTGTTGAATCTTCTTAATCTAAAGATTATTCATTTGGTCAGCATACACCATTTTTCACATGGGCACGTAAAGAAACTCAGTTCTGATAATAAGTGTGCAGTTTTATAACTACAACTGAGGAACTGTAGACTAGAAAGTATGTTGATCCTGAGCTCAGTTGATGGAGGAGTTCTTAGTAGAGCTGAAAATTGTTACTTCAGATAATTAGTGCATGGCCTGATGCTAAGATGTGCAAACAAGAAGATCCTAAGTTCCAATCTCTAGTCAGTGGAACACTGGTCGGCTGCTTCAATTGGATCAGAGATAGTAGGAACTGCAGATGCTGGAGAATCCGAGACAACAAG